GTATGTATGTGTGTATGTATGTATGTATGTATGTAGGTATTTATTCAGGGTTGTCTAAAACAGTTGATTCACTGGACTGTGCTACAAAGTAGGTGGCAGTAGGGGTCATTATTGTCATGCTTTCATGCTGAATATTGAACCACAAATATTTAGAATAGTAGATGCATTTTTCAGAGAAGACAGTGAAATGTGACACTTGTTACCTTAATTTGACAACTCTGTTACTATAAAGATCAGGTCTGAGGTAACCGCCTCCCAGTTAGCTCAATACGTTAGAGCGCCGGAATGTGTTGTGCAGGAGGTAGAGGGTTCAAGCCCTGGCCGGACCAATACTCATGGTCTTAAAATATGTGAGGAGAATTTGCTACCTTTCTATAATCAAGAAATGGCTAGATATTCTAGTCTTCTCAGATAAAGACAAATAAACCGTAGGCCCTGTCTCCTGCAGGGTAAAGGGGTAGGAAACATTAATTTCCCACGCACAAGATTACCGTGTCGTGGATGTCCTCCCCTGGGTGGGATGGGTGGGAATTGACCCTGAAAAACCCCCCTGGGGAGTGGTCAACTAATGTATGTACGTACGTATGTAGGTATATCTTGGAAAAACAACTTACAGTGAAAGCAAAAATATACCGAGGGGGTATGTGTTAGAGGTTTTCTTTCTCTTAGGGCCAAAGGGTTGTCCTCTGAATAGAGGGGTCCTAAACAAAAGAAAAGATTCCACTGCCAAACAAGTACTAGCAGATTCAAACTAAATGCCTCTGTAAAAATGGAATTGGAAAGTCAAATAATTCTGACCATGGTATAAAGAAATTGTGAGATTTCATGTATACTTGTGCTTGCCATATTCATTAGTAAGATTCTTTTATTTTGTTTTATTATTATTATTATTATTATTATTATTATTAACAGATTTTTAGAGTAAGAGTGTCATTTCCCTTCTCATATATTTTTTTAATGTAATTTACTTTTATAAGGATAATTTCGATGCACTTTTTTTTGAAAATTCTTTCAATATGAACTAGTAGTTGCTTTGACAATTTTTAAAGGTAGGTCTTCTTTGATATCAAAGTTAGTTTGGGTCTGATATGAGTCTGATCCTAGAGAACCGAATTTGATAGATTTATTCTGTGTCAACTAATTTGGAAATGTATGAGAGGAAAAACCATTACCCATGTGAATTTATTATTATTATTATTATTATTATTATTATTATTATTACTATTATTATTTTCACTATTCACAGGCATACAAATACAGCATGAAGGCCTTACAGAAGATTTGTCCTGGATTGCCTTTAAAGGTAAATAGTTACACTTACCTTTAAATTAATGAAATCGCCTTTTTATGGAGTATTCATATAAGATTCTGTATAAAATATAATAAACTACTCTGCAAGTGCTGTATGTGTACAAAGTGAAAAAAAAGAATAAGCTGCCCATTTTGAGTGTTTGGGAAATCTATCAAGATTTAAGATAAGTTTTGATTCCCCAGGTATCCAAAATCAGTTTTAATGTATAAAAGTCCAATTTACAAGTTGCCCATCTGTTTACTTTGTATTGATTTAATGGATAACTCTTAACCCAAACTTGAAACCACAGGCTACAAAATTCCTAGCTGTTTCATGTTCACTGTGGCAGATGTGAAGACTAACAGCAGGGGTTCTTTTTGCAGGCTGTAGTTGATATTCTAAGAAATGCATCCAAGGTAATGTGTTTAGTTGTCTTATCATGCTATTCCTTATTGTCTTGAACAATTTAAAGAACAAGTTTAATCAACTGATTTTGGCAAGACAGTAGCATCATCTACATGACAGAAGTTGTTTGATAATGTTGAAATGAAACCTATTGACTACACAACCTTTCAGGACTACTGTTACTCAGAAATTTACACTATGCATGTGCAAAATTGGTAACAGAAACTCTTCAGAAAACAGGAAAAAAAAAAAAAGCAGCACCAATGGAGATGCAGTAAACTATTAAATCCAAAATGAATAAACCTCTAAACAGTGACTATAAATGTACCAAAAAACTGACAAACTGAGAAAGTCATGTATGTGAAAATTGTGCACATAAAAATTCTCATTATGTGTTTTTAAATTTGAAAAAGTCTTACAGCATGTGCTAGTCTCACATCACACCAGTTTGGTTTTTGGTTTTTTCTTCTCAACAATACAATCAATTTTTCTCTTCAGTCAGATAAAGTGTAGTAAGTTCATTATTACTGATACTGTAAGTTCATTGTTCTTGCTCTGCAGTAATCATTGATATAAATTCTTGTTTTTATAAATCAAAATAGTGTTTTTCAATTTTTTCTCAGGCTTGTGTAGTGAAGCGAAAATTCAAGAAAGCAGAACTTTTGATAAAGCAGGCCATGTTTTTAGCTAAGTATGTCCATTTTGAACAATTGGCATTGAGATTTAATCAAGTGCTCTTCATTTGTCCTCAATATATTGTTTGTTTTAGTTAAGTGGCTCTTGTGTTATAAGTATTACTCACATTTATAATCATGATTTTGCATGTTTTAATTTTTTTTTTCCAGGCAGCATTTTGGATGTGATCACCCAAAGTATGCTGATACATTAATTGATTATGGATATTATCTCCTCAATGTAGATGCTATAAATCTTTCTGTCAAAGTATACAAAGTAAGGAAACTATTACCTTATGAAAGACACTTTAAGTAATAAATCAGCTTTGACTCAAAATGTGTATACCCTAACCTCAATTACGGCCTTCAGAGTCTATGATTTATATGCCTACAGAAAAATTTCGAAAGTCAAGTTTTCAAAATTTTTTCTCAAAGCAAAATTGTTTTGATTTAGGGGTTAACTAATAAATACTCCCTGTGGTGGCTGATATACCAGTGCAATTACCTTATCTTATTCATATTGTTTTAATTACTCTGAAAGTCAGAAATTCAAGAATACTTTCATTTTTATTCTGTCAGGTCATTTGTGTTTTGACCAATCACAATAACATTTGCATATGCAAGCAATCATCAATTAAAATTAATCTCAAACTAATTACCATGCTGTTTGCTAACAAGCCTTTATTATCCAACTACACCTAGACGAGTATGAATAACACCATAGATGAGTACAAATATCACGCGGTATTTGTACTTGTCTTTTGTAGTAGCGGTTAAACTGGTTTTCGTACATCGCGCAAGCGAAGAATTGGATTGTAGTTACGGGAACAAAAAAGTGGGGTACAATTTCAAACATATTTCTGACGACGAAGAGTCAGAATGGCTGGCAAATATAGATCCAAGTTCATTTGATGAATCGAACGAAGAAAAACAGCTTGACGACCAGAAAATTTCTTCATTTAATGAAGAAAATAGAAACAGCAACACAACAACATGCCAATTCTGTTCCGCTTCGCATACTTCTGTCATGCACACCCCGCAGATAAATATCCGCAAAATTCGCCTGCAGAAACAACAGTTTGGTGTGTTGGATAATAAATAACTTATTAGACATTTTGTTGTGTAGTATCCCTGAGTATTTTTACTCGTTATTTGTATTTTGACTCGCCCTACGGGCTCGTAACAATACTCAGCGATACTACACAACAAAACATCTAATAAGATATATTTATTATCCAACTGTGCTTGGTAGAGTACAAATAGCGCATGAGATGGGTACAAATATCATGCAATATTTGTACTCCAAAAATATCTGCAAAATTCGCCTGCACTGAAATAACAATTTGGTGTGTTGGATGATAAATCTCTTATCAGACATTTGGTTGTGTAGTATTGCTGACTGGAGTATTTTTATTTTGACTTGCCCTTCAGGCTCGTCAAATTATGGCACAACTCATAAAAATACTCCAGTTAGCAATACTACACAACCATCCGTCCAATAAGATAATTTATAGGTATTTAGTTTTCTGATACCTGAGTACCTTTTCCTTGTTTTCTCTGTTTTTAGGAAGCTTTTCGTACTAGGTTTTATGTCTTTGGTTGCAACAACTTACATGTAGCAACAGCACATGAGGATCTCAGTTATGCTTTGTATGTCCATGAATATAGCACTGGAAACTTTGATGAAGCTAGGTAATGTTTTGGTTTTGTTAACCCTTTACAACCTTACATCAGTATACATATTCTCCAAACTGTTGTCCATACATTTCTAACAATCAAGAGCTTCTCTAGGTGCTGATCATTTCCTTTATTCTCCTGACCTTGATGTTTGATTCAGGGGGTGATATTGGATGGAAAAATAAGATTCTAATCACTCTTATAATTGACAGTCATTCACAAATTTTAATTTACAGGCATGAAGTTCTGTTTTCCCCTTTACTTTCTGAGCAGTCTCCCTGCAGTTAACAACTTATCATTCTGCTTAAATAGGATTTGGAACATTTCTGAATCAGGTGTTCATCATGACAGTCATACTAGTTGAGGAGTTTTCAAAATGAAATATTTAGCCAATAAATTCAGGAATACATACAACGAAGGTATGCTAGACCAGATTAGACAGTCACTATATTATGTTTTTCTCCATTTTATCATACAGAGACCACGCAGAAAGAGCCATCAGTATTATAACAAACCTTTTCCCAAAGGATCATTTACTTCTTGCTTCATCAAAAAGAGTCAAAGGTATGGTTGAAATACTTTTAATTAAATACTTGAAAAAATTCTCCTTACATTCTGCTATACAATTCTTAGAATGTTAGTTTCAAGAATTTGGTATTGGATCAACTAATAATCTTGAAATTGTTTTTCTTATTCTCATTACTTGTCTGTATTGATAACTGTAAGAGAAATTCTGTCTTGGTCATCCATGGGAGGTATAGGGTTAATGAATATTGAATACACTAATTTCTGTGAGTAAGGCCAGTCTCTGACCATAGTTAGAGAGGTAATCAGACAGATAATGAATGACAGCAAAAGAAATGCTAACAGTAAAAGTTTTTTATTTTTCATTATTTTTCAGTTTTATAGTATAATTTATAGTTAACTTTTCTTTCCTCCAGCCCTTATTCTAGAAGAAATAGCAATTGACACCCCAGTCAGACAGAAAGAGGAAGAAATTTTAAAAGAAGCTCAGGAGCTTCACTTAGCTTCACTTGATCTCGCAAGGTGAATTCTTCTTTGTGCATAATGGCCAGGGGTAACCCACAATTGAGTGTCTTTATGCCTTGTCTAAAAAGAAACAGGAAATATGTTGAACACCAGTCATTTGTCAGCATTCTTTTCAGTGGAAAAGTTAGACAGATATTTCATTAGCAGTGGAGTATTCAAGTTAATAGAACTTAAGCATAAGTGTTCTATAATTATTAGCAGGACTTCAATCTGTTATTCTGTTGCAAATGAAATATGCACTTGAATGCACAGCCCCTAATTTGACATTTGAGTAGCCAAAAATACGAGAACATTCAGAAGGTTTCCATGGTTAGTTGGCCTTTCCTTTCATCTTCTTCTTCCTGTTTTTAACACTTTCACTACCAAAATCTCATTTAATTGGGCAATTCTCCTTACTGTTTGCCATATAAATTTGGTATTGGAGCAATTTCTATTTCTCCTTTTTAAATTTTTGTTATTGTCAATACTTGTCCCTTTGATATTGTAATATTAGTCATTGTAAGGAGAAATTCTGTCTTGGTTACTCATGGGAGCTAAAGGGTTATTACATCTGGTATCTCAATCTGCATTTTAAGTCACTGTGTTCAATATCCCATCATGACAATGATTTGAAATTAAGAAATGTTACCTATAGGAAAGCATTTGGAGAAAATAATGTCCAAACAGCAAAACATTATGGCAACTTAGGACGCCTTTATCAGTCTATGAGAAGATATGAAGTAAGTAAAACTAAAAAAAAAAACAAAAAAGTCTTTGTATTTAGCTCAGGGTATGAAAGGATGCAATAAATTGTTTCCTGGGGTCAAAAGGAATTGGCAGATATTACTCCTCACCTTTCAATCAGATACTTAACAATTTACCCTTCGTTATTATTTTATTATTTTGCCAAGTGACCAGGGCAGAGAATATCAGAAAAGAAACTCTAAAAGTTTGAGTAAGTTGTGAAGAACATCCTCCAGCTCTCACTGGCTCTTCATGAGCTGTCTGCCAGCCGACTTTGGAAGTCTGATCTTTTAAGGTTACAGATTCAGATTTATTTAGCAAAATTATCATCATGGGCAAATTAATAACCATAAGGTATTAACAATAATAATATTATTTTCTTTCTTCAGGAAGCAGAGGCAATGCACAAGAAAGCAATTGAAATTAAAGAACGAATATTAGGAAGCGAAGTAAGAACAATATTAGCTAAGGGTAGAAGATCACTGTTGAAGAGTGGCACTAACTGTTTGGCTCGTGGATTTTTGTCTTGCTTTAGGACTATGAAGTGGCACTGTCCCTGGGTCACTTGGCGTCATTGTACAATTACGACATGGAGCAATATGAAAGAGCTGAGCAGCTGTACTTAAGGTCAATTGCAATAGGTTAGTTGATGACAAAAATTTACTTTAAACTTTCTCCTAGTCAATGAAAAACTGATCATTTAGTGGTCTTTGTATTATATTTCTTCTACATTTTAATGTATTATTAAGAGAAAGAAAAAAAATTGTGCCCTTTTACAACAGGAAGAAAACTGTTTGGAGATGGATACAGTGGTCTTGAGTATGATTACAGAGGACTTATTAATCTCTATGATTCTCAAGGTACGATCCAGTTGTTCCTTGATTTTACACATAGGAAAGGCATGTTCATTCTGTTTTAAAGAGGAGTTTCACTGATCAAATTGAATAAAGAGTGGACATGTTGTTCTTCTGATAGGTAACTTTGATTTTATGGAGAGATATCATCAAACATTGATGGACTGGAAAGATCTGCGGGAAAACGCATCGGAGGCAGAGTCTGCACATGACAAGACACCCGATCCATGGCCCACAGGGAAGTTTATACAATTTTTTCTGAATCAGCCTGACTGACTATACATGGGACTTTTAGGATATATCACCTTTTGTTTAGGCATTAATATTTTAAAAATCATGTCTCTTTGGAAGGCCTAAGAAAACTTGCAAAGATGGCATTTGGGATTTCATTCAAAGTTCTCCTTACAGAATTTTCTGATGGATATACTTGCAAATGTGTAAGATAAAGTCAAGATGACAAAAATTGCAGAAAAATTGCATTTTGAGTGATGTATCTTGTGTAAAAAAAGGATCACTATTTAGTGAATTAGCATTTACTCATATTTTGTATAAAAACAAATTTAAATTTATGGGCCTTGAAGATTTTTTTGGGTTGGTTGTTAGCGTTGAAAAGAAAATAATATAGTGCTTTTTGGGGGGAATTCGTGTCAATTTAGTCACTTGAAAATCAATGTAAATTTAAAACACATGATAGAAAAGTTATTTTAGAATTTACTTCTAAACTTTCACAAATGATTTGACAAAGTTTAATATATGCCTCTTTATAATGATATAGATATTTTAAGACTAAGAGTGGCAGAAATAATCAGGGAAAACGAAGCGTGAAAGTTTATGGTGGAAACTGGCGAAACTGTGAAGGAGATAGAAAGGTTTTTAGATTAGGAGAGAAGAAACCATGATGGAAGATTTGTACATGTTACTTATTTCGCAATTATTCAGAGAATGGAATCGTTGTTTCTTTGTATCATAAAAAGGGTGTTAAAACGCAATTTACCCTTGAGTGTACGAATAAAACTAAAAGGTTAATAAGTATGTTATTTGCCGCTAAAACATTAAACACATAGCACATATAAATCTAGACCATCTATAAGGACGTGAACTGAAAGAAAGGAATTATGTATTCTTTCTTCACAACAGAATATTCTCACTTAAATCCGTATTCTAATTAAATTTTCCAAGGAAAGTGTTTCTTACTCCGTGGGAATGCATCGTTATCGAAACAAATTTTCAATTTTCGTTAAAAAAATGGCTTGCCTCTGAATATTGTGCATTTGAAAAATTTTAGATTTAATCCTTGCTAAGTTTTGCACTGTTGCTGAAGAAAACGAAATCTACAGAAACATTTTATTCTGAACACAGGCCTAACAATAAAATTAGTTGAATGAAAATTGAATGGGTCTATTTGTTAATAGTTATAAAATAACCGAGTTTCGTAAAAGTTTATCTGTATAGTAAATGTATGAAGTAAAATGCAGTAAAACTCAAGTGAGTTATATACACCGCAACTGATTCTTTCCTCAGTTGCAGATGAATAATACTTTGCGGCTTAACTCAGTATTTTTTTCTTTTGTGTGTGTTTTTTTTCAGAGAAAAATATTTTTGAGATTTCTGATTACGCATACTTTTTGTGGGAACTGAATGAAACGAGTTTTTGTTTCAATACTGAGCAGCACATTAACTATGATCAAATCTTGTTAATCATAGCATTAAAAGAAAGACCCTTGAAACATCCAAGTCGTCTTCAAGTTTCTTTACTTTCTCCGGTAAACCCCTAATCCTCTTCCATGCTTGAGTCTGAACTCATCTAATGCAGGATTATAGCCCGACTGAGTGTCTTCCTCCATTTTCGAACAACTCTGAAGTCTTAACGATCAGCCCATTGGAGGTCTTTAAGGTTCTTTTAGAGCTGAATCCGAGAAAGGCCGGTGGCCCTGATGGCATTAACCACTGGCTCCTTCGGGAATATGCTGACTTTGTAACTTCCACGGTCTGCGATATTCTAAACTCATCATTCTCCGAGCAGAAGCTTCCTCGGTCGTAGAAGGATGCTGACGTTTCACCACTGATGAAAGTAAAACCTGTGACCATCATCACCAAGCATATCCCGATTTCCTACTCTGTCCAAGTTAGCAGAGGAGTTCTTTGTTAGTAAATATATTGGCCCTGCGGTCTTGGAACTGATTGATCCTAACCCATTCGGCGCAGTCCCAAAATCTTCAACTCTTCATGCTCTCATTTCAATGGTGCACACTTGGACGCGAGCCACGGACGGGACCAGTTCTGTGGTGCTTGTTTTGTTCCTAGATTACAGGAAGGCTTTTGATCTTGTGGATCACAATATTCTGGCAGCCAAGATTCTTGGGTTGCGTATTCCGAGCTGGGTTGCTCGTTGGGTCTGTGACTTCCTTCTGGACAGGCGGCAGCGAGTAAAGCTT